TATTAAAAGATCTGAAAAAAATGGACATATAAACTATGCTCAATGCCTTAAAACTATAAATTCAAAGTAATTCTCATCCAATATTTTGAAGGATTTGGAAAGAAAATTTACAAATTGATTATAAAATTTATATATGAAGATAAAGGTCCATATATAGCTAACTGAAAAAAAATAGAAAAAAAAGAAAAAAGAAAAAAAGGACACTCACCCCACCAGATATAATGTCTGTAATAAAACCACAGTAGTTAAAATTGTCTGTTACTAGTACAGAAGCAAATAGCTCAATTGTATACAATAAAGAAACCAGAAACATAGAAACCTGCTAGCATCAAAAATCAGTAAGAAAAAGTTAGATTACTTTATAGATTATTTCATAACTAGTTTCAGGAAAACTGTCTTATCAAATAGAGGAAAAAAATTAGATCTTTACTTTATACCTTACTACAAAATAAATTCCAGATTGAATAAAAAATGTAAATGTAAAGATAAAACTATAAAAAAAAAAAAAAAGAAAACACAAAATAACTTTACAATCTCAAACTGGAGAAGGATTTTTAAAATAAGATTCCAAAAGCTTAAGTCACTTATAGATCTGACAGCATTAAGTATTTGTGTTCCACAAAAGGCAATACAGCCAAACGATAGTCTGTGAAAAGACATCTGCAATGAGTAAAACTAGCAAAACAGCAGAAACATGATGACAGAAAACTCAAGTTTTAAAAATGGTCAATGAATAGGAATAGGGAAAATACAGAGGGAAATTTAAAAGGCTAATAATAAGTATATAAACAGATGATCAATCACATTTATAATTAGAAATGCAAATTAAATTAACCATAAGGATATACTTTGTACTCATCTGACTGGCAAATATTAGAACACTGGATAGTAAGAAGTGCTGGCAAATACAGGAAAGAAATTAAGAACCCTCATGCACTGCCAATGGGAATGTGAACCTTGAGCAGCATTTTAGAAAGCAAACAGGCAGAATGTATCCTACTGATCCAGTAATCCCATGAGTAGATACAGAACCCAGAGAAAGTTTAAAAGTACACAAGATATTAGGTTCATTGCAGCAATTTATTTTTTCTGTAATAGCAAAGATTTGGTGACAGTCTAGATGTTCATCAGTAAGGAGTAAGTAAAATGTGAAATACACATATATTGGAATACCACTATTCAGCAATAGGATAAGATCATTTAGAGCAACATAATTGGGTCTAAATGATCTAATATTTAGTAGAAAAAAATAAGATGTAAGATTTATAGCACAATACCAGTTATGCAAATTAAACAAACACAAAACAACACTATATCCAGTTTATACTGATATATACATTACTCCTGAGAAATGGTTAAGGTACAATGGTGGAGAAAAAGAAGGAATATTAATACTAGGACACTATGCATGCTATGAGCTGAGGAGTGTGATCAACTGAATTCCTTGCAGATGCACCTCCATCCTTCCTCTCAAAAAGATAATTTCAGGTAAGGAAATGAACAAAGGGACTAATATAAATACTATCAGATGAATGAGGTAAATGCTACCTCTAACTGATTTACTGGCTTAGACATGTCTTCATCCTTCAATCTCCTTATGGTAAAATGAGATCCTGTTTTATAAACTGGTTAATTAATACTTGGTCATTATGAACTGCTTTGTATCTTTGAGCAAATAAATGTTTAGTCCTTTCTCCTCCAAATAAAACAAAGGGCTATAAATAAATGATTCTTGAGTTAACTTTGAGAAATACAAAAAAAAAAAAAAAAAATTAAGGGAAAACTGCTATACTCTAAATAAAAAAAATTACATAAAGAAAAAAATGTCAAATCCACAAAAGTTAAAGTATGCATAAATTACACCTATCTATACCATACCATGATTAATAGAAACAAAAAACCAAAGCAAGCACAATGTGAGAGCAAGTAAATATCTACAAATGTTTACATAGTACATATATTTATATATTTTATACTACGTATATACATATATATTACATATGCATGTAAAAACAAGATTACCCAGATGACAGAAATCTAAACAAAGAGACAGCAAACTTCTATCTAAAGTTAACTTAGTTTAGTCTTAATTTTTCACTTCAGCTGAATATATCTAAATGGTCCAACTAACCCTTCACTTTGAATATATGCAAAGTACTGTCATTAGGGCCCCTAAAAACCTGCTCCACATTTCCTCTTTCTATTAAATGGACCCTAAAAGGTTCAAGTCTTCAAGGCTCAAAACCCAAGTACAATGTGACTCTTCTCCCTCAACTCCCACATATGCAACTAGCTGTCAAATCCTGACTATTCCATATCTGAAATCTCTAATCGTTCCCTATTCTCTTTTATTTCTAATATGTCCTTCCCCAGCTGACTATTCTGTTCCCAGTCCTTCCAATTCTCCACACCCCATGATCTGTCTTATATTAGAATAAGGTTTTATCCTGAAATAAAATGTGAATCATGTCACATTTTTGTCCAAAATCTTTCAATGGTCCAAATTCTTTCATGTGAAATTCAAGATCCACTTAATCTATTTTATCACCTTAATCTATCTGAAACGACATTGCACTATTCTTTTTCATGCATCCTTATCAATGCATTTCTTCCTTGGTCTAAGCACATGTCTGGCACCTTACTATAGGCATCACTGTATACCGAAAACCCAGACCAAATTTCAATGCCCAGTTCAACAGCTTCTGCCTCCAGGTACTTTCCAACTCATGAGAGAAAAAATACTCTCCAATAAAAACCAATGACAAAATAAACCATAAGGTAATAAGAACACAAATAATCACAGCCTATGGCCTACGTAAAGAAAGAAAAGTTGATGAAGGAAGTAGTAGGCTTTGATTAATCTCCATGCTTGAGGATGCTTATGTGCCAGAAAGAAATATACTTTTAAGTTAAAATTTAAAAATAAATATGAAAGAAAATATCTAATGGAGGAATTTTTTTTGAAGAGGGGGTAGAGGTAAGAGGGATATAAAATATTTAATAAAGTAGCCCAAATTTTTCCAAATTTAATGAAAACTATAAACCCACAGATCTAAGAAGCTTAATGAATCCAAATTATAGAAAATACGAGATCCACTATTGGAGTTTTCAACGATGTTAAGATGTTAACATTATAATATTATAACATCAGCTCTTCCACCTAAGATGTCAGATCTAAATTAATATTTAAAGTCAATGTAATTCCAAAAAAAAGATCCAAATAGGTTTAGTTTTGGGGTAGAAATTTCCAGGTTGATTAAAAAATTTTATGGAAATGCAATGAATAGCCAAAACAATCTTGAAAAAAAAGAACAAATTTTGAGGACTTACACTGCATGATTTTAAGTCTTACTATAAAGCTACTACTAATCACTTGGAGTTCTAGGCAAGATCCCATTTGAAAGAAGGGTTCTACTGCTAAAAAAATGTTTGAAAACTCTTGCTGCAGTGTCATGGGACCCAGGGGAGGGGAGAGACTGAAGGAAGGTGTAATGAGGCGTATCAAATTGTGCTGCAATCAGGAGGTCCTTAAGTGACATTTGAGGCTGCAAGATAGTACTGGAAGGGAGAAAAAACAAAACAAAACAGATTTTGTGGGGTTAAGGAGTGAATGAGTAGAAAGTAACTGTAGACAGCAAGTACAGACCACAAGTAAGAAGAGAAAGGAAGGATGCAGGTAAGCATCCTGTCTGGGCGGCCCCTTCTTTGTGCCCATACTCACTATCATTAGTGCTAGAGATGGCTTAAGTTAAGGTGCTTTGATTAAAGCTGTGGGCTTCAAGAGAGTTACCTGATTTGACAAGACCAAGACTCCACAGATCTCTCACCCCCATCCATTCTCCTAGTGACTACAAAACAGCTCTGACAACCCTTATGTTTGGCAGGTTAAATCACCATCATTTATTTTAGAAATATTTATATTTTAAAATTTACTTTGGTTTTCCAGTACCTGATTACTGTTTAAAAAGAAAAACTCAACTGCTTAATTTAATTCCTACTTAAACATTTTAAAAAAAATTTTTCGATTACAGTTGACATACAATATTCTATCCATTTTGGGCATAAAACAATCTCTACTTTTTGTTTGAGGAGATTCTCCTAGAATATTGGTGCAATACAGAAATGTGAAAAAATTTTAAATATTTTTAATTTGTTCAATATCTTATAACTCTAAATAGAAAGTTTTGGGGACATATGTACAGAATTTATCTCAAATCCCTGGATAAAAAACAAAGAATCCAAACTATTTAATGCAATTGTCAATTACTTAAGAGAAAAGGAACAATCAATTGCTTAATTCCAAGATACTTCAGGTTTCGAAGACCATAAATATAAATGCCTTAATTCTCACATCAAAGTCACTAAAAATGAATGGCAGATAATGCAAAGAACATAATGCTATAAGCGTAGTTTGGTTTACTTACCTTCTGCTTTTCTACCTGTGACTCCCTTGCCTACTCACATGGACCCACAGTTTTATCAAACAAATTAAACCAGTGATAATTCATTCATCCAAGTTTTAATACAACTGTCTACAAATCAAACATTTTGCTGCTCTAAAATTACATAAATACCATCATATCTTTAAACAATTAGCTTTCTGACCAATATAACTTTTAAAAAGATACTAAAAGCAGATAATTAGTTATAAATATATAAAGTGATAAATACATCTATATGATAAAAATAGTGATAAATGTCAATATGAGTACTATGATCCTGTTTCAGTTTTGAGCATTTACTATCACTGATGTAATTCCAAACTGCTCAAATATAAAATATTATTAACATTATCATAAAAATAGGTAGATGCTAATAAATATAAAAATAACAATAACAGTAAATATTCTAAATAATGTATTCCTTTGAGTTAGTCTACCATATACTTATATGACAGTTCTGTATATAGATATAGTATTATACTAGATATCAGTATATTTCAAAAAATTGTAAAAGCTAATTTTAAAACAAGGCTCACTACTCTCTACCCTAAATTATACCTGGCAGCTAGGTAAATCTTCCCCAAAAAGGTGGTGCTGAAGAAGGCTGGTGATTCTGAGGAAAGGTAAGCAGAAGTCCTGTAAGTATTTTTCCATGGATTCAGGAGACCAAGCAATAGGGCTAACCTAAAGTTAAAAAAGAAAATCTGAACAATTCATTCTATAACAGATATAGCTTTAAAAATTGTATTCATAATGACAACAAAAATCTAAATTTTTAACTAAATAATAACTACATCTTGTCTTAGAGAAAGCATACCATTGCACACTCCTGAGTTCCTTCTTCATGGTATAATTTTCCTTTAGCTAGTTCACTTATCACAAAGCTCAATAATACTTCATAAGACTTTTCTGCATCACATGTATTCTGAAAAATATTAAAATACAGTTCCATCAGTCAATAAAAAATACATTGGAAAAAATACCTTTCAATGAGTAGAGTATAAAATGTGATTACATTATTTTTTGAGCATGTAAGCTTCAATTCCTTGAAACCTGTACACAATATACCTCTGGATTCACAATGAAATTGGGTAGATGATTAAATACTTCTTTAAAAGGCAGCATATAAATTATGTAATGTATGTATAAATAAACACATGTAAATCATAGAGTATGACTATATAACTCCCCCACTGGAAATTCTTCCTAAGAAAATAATCCAAAAGAAAAAAAATATCTATATGCCCAAGACATTCAATGCTGCACTGTAATATTGAAAAATTTGAAACAATCAACAAAAATGAAGCTGTTACCTAAATTATGACATATCAACAGAAATATTTTATAGACGATGAAAATAAAAAATTTAGCTGTATAAAAAATGTTCATAATTGACGTGAAAAAGACCAATAGACATATATGTATACTCATTATAGTGGTACAAATAATATATGCATGAAAAAGAAGAAAATATGGAACAGAGTTTTTCTTTTATAACTTTCCTCAAATTTCTTGAATAGGATTGTACAATGTAATGTAAAAATAAAATAGAACAATACATTTATTGCAGAATGTACAGAGAATTACATTAAATAAGTCTATAAAATAATTAAGCTTAATGACTATACTTTTTATAAGAAAGGAAAAATGATGGCTATTTAGAAATTCAAATTTCTTTCAATAATATTTTTACACATAAAGAAATGCACTTCTTTCAATATTCACTGATATTAGAGGTTGCAAATTATAGTAAAGTGTAAATCAGAATAACGTGATAACTTTGCTGTGATATCACTTATTCTACTCATTAACTACAATTTTTAAATAACAAAATGTAAGAATTAAGTAAATGCTGTGGAATATAACTTTATCCTGAATTTTTAAGGCACTGATAATCTGGACCACAGAGTTTGTTATTTGATGATATTCGGTCTTTCTTCCAGTCCCTCACTGTTCTACTCGTTACTGTGCTCTCTTCAACCTGACTGTAAATTCCAAAAAGTCAGGAACTATTGTGTGGTATTTTGTATGTATCCCTTTGCATAACAAAAATCTGAACAATAAATCACCTGCTGGCTCACTAATAAAATTTATTTCAGTAATGTTGGAGTTTTCCAGTTTAGAACTTCCTTGGATGTGCCTCTTTCGATAATCAATTCTTTACATTATTTGTTTTTCTTTTTATTAAATTTACTGGGGTGACATTGGCTAATAAAATTATATAGGTTTCAAGTGTACAATTCAATATATGTCATCTGTATATTGCATTGTGTGGTCACCACCCAAAGTCAAATTTCCTTCTGTCACCCCCTTTATTTACCCTTATCTACTTCCCTCCACCCCCTTTCCTTTTGGTAGCCACTAAGCTGTTGTCTGTGTCTATGAGTTTTTGTTTGTCTTGTTCGTTTGTTGCTTTCAGTTTTATATTCTACATATAAGTGAAATCATATGGTTCTCAACTTTTCCTGACTTATTTCACTTAGCACAATAACAGAAGTCCCCTCTGAAAGATAACTGAATAAAGAAGATGTGGTACATATATACAATGGAATATTAGTCATAAGATGAAATATTGCCATTTGCAACGACATGGATGGATCTTGAGATTATCATGCATTATCTTTTAAATTACTCCTCTTTCCTTTCTGCCATATTCACTCAGCCATGTAGTATTATCCTGTCCTAATTTTTAACTATAAAAACATCTACAACATTGTATGACAGCTATACTTTAATAAAAAATCAGGTCCCTTTACTAAACTCTTCTCAAATTAAAATAAAACAGTAAAGACAAATAATTTTATATATAAGAAGTCTCAGTAAACCTTATTTTATAAAGGCAATATTTGAATAAACTTAAAGAGTAGGCTAATAAAGCTTAAGAAGAGGATTTCTAAGACCATGGATGAAAGACCTAGAATCAAGATCAGAAGAATTCTATGGTGTAGGTGGCAAAGGTATGTGGATTAAATAAAGGATCAAGAGTTGAGAGATGCAATAAGTGCTGTGTTGAGTAGACACTTTGTCTAAATTCTATGCTTCTTAAACAAGCAGGTCTGATTTTAACAAACTGTTCAATGAGGTATAAAACATCTTTAAGAGTTATAAGCCAATCAGAGGTTCAGTTTATACTAGACTTATTATTTTTTCCCTACCAATTTCCCCAAATAAACACTGAAGTAATTTTCGTATTTTAATTATCTCTAAGCCAAACCACTCAGTCAGTTCTTGGGTTCTATATATAGTATCTCATTTGTTCTCAAGCCACTGAAAATACTTACATTGAACTAATCTTGCACAATTTTTCTAAATTGTTCACATAATTTTAACTTAAAGAGAATTCTTTTAAATTTGCTAAGAAGTTAAACATATTCTAAAATGGGGAAAAGGAAGTATTTAAAAAGGCATAATTAAGAAAAGGTTACAATTTTAAATTTAGAAGTGATGAATCAAAAGCTATCTTTGGATTATGCTGGGGATAAGGATGAGAAGAAAAGGTAACAGATAAGTAAAACAGGTAAGTCTTTTAATTACGTCCTCCCTGTGCTAGCACAATTTTTATAACTTCTCTAAGCTTAAGACTTGTAGCAAAAGCAAAACAAAACTGCCCAAATATAAAGGGATAAAAGCCAAGGATTAGAGATAGATGCAGAAGACCTCATTGTACAAGGAAAACATTTTTAACTGTTTTAGCCGATTAAAACACTGTTAATAACTTCTTTTGCCTTTCAAACACCTAATCTCATTCATTCATATCTGCAATTTAAATGAGTTCACTGAACTACTAAATGACAAATGCAGACAAGACACTCACCTTTTTGAGAGCACCTGTGCGTTTCCAGGCTGACCTATCTTCCTCATTGCATTTAACTGAAAGTGCTGCAAGAGCTTGTGTGTACAGTAGGGTAAAAAGTACCTTCACAATGCAGGTGAAGTGGTCTAAAAGAGAGAGAAGATCATTATTTCTTTGGAATCTAGACATTTTGTACTCAAGATAATTTCATAAATACATGCTTTTCCTTGCATGTGTAATTGAGTTTCTGTTCAATACTTAAGGAATTAATAAAAGGAGCTTATAATGTGATGATACACTTTTTTACTCGACAGATCTGAAATTATGAATTATGAATAAATTCCTTTATTCATCCACAAAATATGTAAATGAGAGGCATTTAGCACAGTGGAAAGTGTGCTCTGTCTTAAGAGACCAGAGTGCTAATGCCACTCAACTTTGGATGAGCTGTGTAACCTTGGCAAATCCGCTTACTAAATGAACATCAGGTGCTTAACAACGTCTGGGAGTCCGACTGCTTAAAAACAACACTTCATTTACTTCTCATATGATACAGATCTTGTAAATAATAAGAAAATGTAATACATTATAATATAGAACTTTTAAAGTTAAAAAAAAAAAAAAGAAATCCCAATATTTGAGGTACTCTGAGTTTTAAAACAGATCTGAAATTTTGAAAGCAAAGTTCCTTTATTCATCCACAAAATATGTAAATGAGAAGCATTTAACATAGTGGAAAGTGTGCTCTGTGTTAGAAACCAGAGTTCTAACGCCCCTCAACCTTGGAATAGCTGCGTAACTCAGCTATTTTAAAACTCAGTGAGAACTGTGACAATACAAAAGCATGGTAACAATAATATAAAATGCCTGGTAACATCTGGACACATTAGGCACTTAATAAGTGATAATCTAATAATCACAGTCAATATTTATATATACCATAACTGAGAAAATTTCCCCAACTGTCTCATTCAATCCTCAGAATAGTCTCAGTTGGACAACTGAGTTTCAAAAGAATATACCGGTATAACAAAGCTAATAAGCACCTAGGTTTGAACTTGAATCCATACAAAGTCAGTATTCTTTCTATTATATTATTCTGCTCCCCTAGTAAATGGGTATTACCATTTAATCAGTTGCTAAATTCAGAAACTTGTAGACATCCCCGATATTATCCCCCATGTTAAAATAAATCACCAAATCTTATCAATTCTACTTTTAAAATATCTCATAAGTCAGTCCCAATACCCTGGACCAGGCTTCTATCCTTTTTTGCCTAGATCCATAATCTCAGAATAAGTTGTATTGGGGTCCCCAAGACCACTTCTAGGTTTTATAATTCCCTAGGAGGACTCACAAGACTCAGCATATAGTCCTATTATTTACTTCAGTAAAAGGATACAAAGTAAAATCAGTGAAGGGAAAAGGCATATTACCTGAAGTGGAGAGGAAATCTTTAAAACATCCTCTCCCAGTAGTGTCACACAGGATATGCTTAATTCCCCTGGTATATATTTCACACAGGCTGTCACAACTCAAGCAATGAGTTGTGACAGCCTGTGTGAAATATATACCAGGAAGCTCATTAAGAGACTCAGTGCCCAAGGTTTTTATTGGGAGCAGGTCACATAGGCACTCTCTGCCTAGTACATACCAAAGTTCTAGATTCCCAGGAGGAAAGCAGGTGTGGTCAGCATAAGCCACAATGTTTACACAGTTTAGGTACAGAGAGCCACTCTTATCAGTTCTGGAGTTGGTAGAAACCTCCCCCAAATCATCATTTCCAGATGTCCATCAAGGGCCAACCTTATAAGCAGGCCTTTCAAAGGACAGCAGTCAAGCTTTCTATGGTAATTCTTTTCTTCACAGTGGTTTATCCACAGCACCTCTAATTGGGTGCTGCAGCAATCTATTTGGGCTTTGTTGTTGTTGTTGTTGTTGTTGTTTTCATTACAGACAGACCGATCTTTTTAAAAGAAATATTTAGCATCATTCCACTGGGTCTTAGTACAAGCTGAAACACTTTTTTTCTCCCTGTAGTCAGGATAATTTAATCAGATGACACCTTAAAAGTCACTTCCTAAGGAAAATCTTCCATGATTTCAAATTGTGCGCACACACGCACACGTGTGCACATTGTATCTTATCCATAATGATGGGTTGGGATGGGAACCTGATATAAGCTGAGATAATCAGAGTACCTAGATGGGATTTTTCTAACTGGAAGTAAAGGGAAGGTATAAAGATGAGTCTGAAAGTACCCGAGTCAATGGCAGAGACTGTCTAAAACAAGACTGAATGAAGGAGATCCACAGAGAGGAGAGACTCAAGATGGCAAGAACACGGCCAGCATCTTAAGTTCTGTTTCTGGTCGTCCCTATTCCACCCGCGACTCCTACACTTTGGACATGTGAGTCCATCAGTGCTCTTCCTTTGAGCTTATAAGCTAGCTCTAAAGAGATTTCTAAACAGCCTAACACTTAGGTACTTAACACATGCCAGGATATAGGCAATAAGGACTTACAGTCTGGATAGAGAGAGAGACAGATGGCTGTAAACATGTACAGGGTGTAATGGGAAGAAACATGAGGAGGAACTAATATAGACTAAGGTTAGAAAAAATATAAAAGCTACTGCCCCAATCAGGAGAGTGAGTCTTGAATAATGAAGAAAAATAAGCCATAATAAGGTAGAGATGGGATGCAGTAGGGAGGGGGGATTCCAGACTGAGGAAGTCATTTATACAAAAATCACAGAAAGACACTAAGACTTATAAGAACTATAAACTGTCCAGTGTTTAATAAGACCACACGTACGATTTTTGAGAGATGAAGATGGAAAAGTACTCTTTATGCTTAAGACCAGTGGTTGCAAACTATAGGCTACCTGTCTGAATGCAGTCTGCAGAGATGTTTGGGTTATCTTTACCCCATTTCATTTTTTGTTACTGACATTTAAAAATAGGCTATTTCTTGTAAAAGTCAAGAATTCCACTTACCCTTGAAAAGTAGGAAAATCTGACAATACTGGGCCCATATTTTTACATGCCAACAAGTACCTGGGGCTGAGTAGTAACTGTCCTTTTTGGCCAAGCTTGCCACAGTCCTCCATTCCTAATTATATCAAACCAAAGACTGTTTCACAAGGGATCAGTATACAGAATTATTGTCAAGAATGAATTTAGGCTATGAAGTCAAATTGTCTAAATTTAAATTCTGACTCTTCTGATTTTAAGCAAGATAGTTAAAAATTGTGCTTTTTAAAAACTTGGTCATCTGTTAAATAGGGATAATATCATCTGCCTTAAAGGGATTAAGTGAAATAAGGTTTAAACACTTAAATGCTTCAAATATTAATTGGCAATGGCAATCTGTAAACATCTGTTGTTATTAATATTACTGTTTACATTACTTATTTGATGTCTGTAGGCATTTGATTTATAGCACCTAAACTAGGCAATGAAAAGCCACAAAGCATTTTAAGCAGGTCACTGATATTAGATTTGAATTCTAAAATATTCATTGCTGCTTCTTAAGAGAAAGGGACTAAAACAAGACAAGACTAGAAGCAAGAATACCTATTAGCAGAGAGCAAAAGTACACACACACCTGTTCCTTGATTTATATGGATTATCTGCTCCACGCATCGTTTTTTTTTTATGCAGAAGAAAACTGCATAGAGTCCATCAGTAAGAAAAAAAATACTAAAGAAATAGGCCAATATAAGTCATAAAAATATTTATTTCACATATTTTCACAAAAAATGCTAATGAAAATTCAGAAAAATAATAAATTTTATTTGTTGTCAGTGTCTGTGCTGTAATCTAAAGCAAACGACCTTCTCTTAATTGGCACAAAGTCACTATCTTCATCACTTGAAATATTTGTAAGTATATTTATGTCCCCTTTAAAACCGTTCTAAGTAAAAACAGCTCATATATAATATTGGTTATTTGCATTTACTTACACTTAATTATGGCACATTATCTTTAAGTGCTAGTGATGTAATCACCAAGTAATATGCATATAAGTTACGAGTATCTATAACTGAATTATGACTCAATGGGTGTGTAGTGTCAACTCCTACAGCTATCGATAGGTGATTTAACATTTTGTTAAATTTGTTTCAACTGTTACTGACCACAGCATAATAATCAATTTTCAAATGTCCCAGTGATAATTGTGTTAGTAAATATGTTCTTTGTACATTGCTGAGTTAAGCTACTGTTTTTAGAAAGAGTAATCACTAATAATAGATATGAAAAAGAACCAAGTAAAATTAGACTGCATAAATAGAAACTGTATATAAAAAAGTCTGTGTAAACGGGGAGAATATTTACCACATATAAAAAAACTCGCATAAAAAATACCATGTAAATCAAGGGATGGTGTATATGATGGCCTGAGCTAAGAAAGAGTACTGATGATAGAGAGAATGGATCAAATTACAGAAATATTTAGATGACAGAAGATTTGGTGGAGATGTGAAGGTAGATGACAATGGCAGTTTCTCATTATACAAAGAGTAGATAGCAGCAGCGCTGACTAAAATGGAAAACAGCAAGAGCAAGTTTGGATAGAAAAATGAATTAATGTCACATTATGTTGAGTCGAGAGCATGTGTAGGAATTTGGGCCTGAAGCTCACCAAAGTGTAGACTGAAGCTAGAGAATTGGGAATCATTAAGAATAAGTACAGCTGAAGCTATGCGAGAGAAGATAAAATTGAGAAGAAGACAGGAACTAAAGAACAACTCAAACAGTGGCGAGAGGAAGATATGAATGAAAAAGAGCCTTAAAAATGAGTAGAAGGAGAGATGAGAAAAATCAGGAAAGGATAGTATCATCAAGGTCAAGAAAAGAGTATTCTATTACTTAATTATATGTTTTAATAGAATGATGAAAATTATAGAACTTTTCTACTAAATGCAAACAAAATGATCTTAAACCAGGAAGTCATTTATATTACCTAGAGACACCACTCACATATAGCTTCTTCTCACTGGAAACTCCACAAATTATTTTAATTAAAAAGAAATAATGTATTTAAAGAAACGAAAGCTACTGCATGCATAATTTTAGCTTTTTGTTGTAGCAAAGTACTAATTTCTTTTTTCAGTTACTTTGTCTGCCTTCATTATCATTTTT